CAGCCACCGAGCAGGCTCCTTAGCACGGCACACACGCTGCTCCTCCGGGTCCGCAGAGGCTGTCGCTTTGCTGCTTTGCCCCCATCCTCAGATTTAGGGGTGAAGTTTGAACTCTGGACCTGCCAGGATATGGGAACCTGCCTTTCAGAGAGCAGGGCCCTTCCCTTTGCTTTGTACGCCCCAGGCTCCTCACCCTGGAGGGAAGCCCAGCGAGAAAAGAGCCCGGGGGCTTTTCTGTGCCTGGCTATAGAGACTTTCCCTCAGGCCTGGTAAAACTGCTGGCCAGGTGCTGGGGAGGCATGCGGGGTGTCCGGCTCCTTCGCCTCGGCTTCCCACAGGTTGTCATAGCTGAAGTCGCTCTGGAAGCTCTGGAGCTCGGCATAGTCATGGTAGGAGTCGCGGTGCCGGCAGTTGGCCTCTGGCAGGTCGTAAGTGCCGACATTTCCATCTGCAGAAAAACCAACCAAAGCGTTCAGAGAGGTCATGACCAACCCGGTGGTTGTCTCCTCCTTTGCCAGCAGAGAGTACGCACGAGGGTCAGGAAAAGCGCAGCCCAGATGCCAGTAGATCTGGGCAAAGCGGTGGAAGTGTGCCATGGAACAAACCGCAAGCCCCCCACGTGTGATGAGTGGCCAGGGCTGGTGGGCAGTGAGTGGAAGCCAAGACAAGTGCCTCCATCAGACCGACCCAGGCAAAGGGCAGGGTGACAGAGTCGGTCCCACCACGGAGAAGCAGGAGGAAGGAAAGGCATGTACGAGTCCTCGTGTTCCCTCTCAGCCCTGCTTTGAATGACGCTTATGGAGACAGACACCGGCAAGGTGAGGTGGGCTGCAGCACCCGAGCAGCCTCCCAAAAGTCTCACCTGGTGGCTGCAGAGAAGGGCCCAGATGTTCCTCTCGCAGAGAAGAGATCTGAAAAGGAAGAGATGCACTGATGAGGAGGACTTAGCACTGCAGTCCTGGGATACCGCACACCAGGGAATCAGCCTCCGTTGGTTCCCCTATTCCTGCTCCCCAAGATGTATCCCACCACAGAGCAAAGGGCTCTGCAGCGAGCAACTGCTCTTCCAACCCGGAGAAAGCCAAGCTGGGAAACCCTGTACCCCCACGTATTCCCCTGCAGCCTGCACAGCATGGGGCACTAGGACTGCATTTACAAACTCACGTCTTCAAGATAAGAAGGGTCAGGAGGAGACCGCAGCTGGAGACGGCACGAGGTGCCGATGGTGCTGGAACTCGGAGCTGCAGGCACCCCTCTGCAGTGACTGCTGGGCAGGGGCTGGCAGTTCCTCTTCTGCAGAGAGAGATGCTGGGGTACCGGGACGGCCGGGCATCCATTCACCTGTGGTGACCCCGTCTGTCCATGACACTGCCGGAACTTAACCAAAACAAACTCTAGATTTGATACGTGCAATGGGAAGTTGGGGAACACTGACTGGTTGCTCCCCACCTGTAAGCCTGCCCTGCTATGAACAGACTTAGGCAAAACAAGGTTTTCTGCCTGCCTTGTAAATCCTACTCCATTCCAATCCTGACGGCCTTAGATGGGAAAGGAAGAATGGCTGTGGGTCCCTTGCAGAGACTCACAGAGGTAGTGGTAGCTGGCCAGATGTGAAGGTCGTAGGATGAAACCCACTGACAGCTCAGGACAGAGCGCAGTCAGGAAGAACCCTCGGAGGGAAAGGAGGACTTAGCACTATGGGGGATGCCAGCCACAGCCTCAGAAATAGTCTTTTCCCAAGAGATGTGCAAAACTAGAAGTGTAGCCTTTAATAGGCACTCAGTTATCACAGCTGGAATTTTTGGGGGTGGATAAAGTGGTCTCTGTGTCTGAGTCATCTCTAGTTTCTGTAGACTGGTTCACATCTCAGTCCCTGCCTTTGTCTTGCCGTTTCTGGCTCTTCCTGGGATTGTTGTGACGCTGGCATCCAGTGATAAGACAGGGGAAACCTGTTCCCCTCTGACTCTGTCCTGGCTTGAAAAAAACAGAGAACTACGCTGTGCCCTGCCCCACCCCGAAATGCAGGTCTGAGTTTCCACATCCCACTCAGGCTCAGGCAGAGAGCAGGAAAAGAAATGGCCAGAGGCATCATTTCTGGAGCCAAAAGCCTGTGTGCTGACTCAGGGCCGTAACCAGCAGCGAAGGTGCAGGGTACCTCTTCCAGGAAGCTGGAGCCTGCCATGCTGGGAGAGCTGGGAGAACTGGGTGTATAGGGATCAGCGTACAAGGGGGAGCGGGGCATGGCCGGCTTCTCCAGGGAGCTGGAAGCTGTCGAGGGCTGACTTCCCACCAAGCTCCATCTGTTCAGCTAAAAGGCAGAATTGAAACAGGAAGATGACATGCTGTTCCCTACTTGCAATTCATCCCCAGGAGGGATCGGAGTGGGGAATCTCCCCGCAATTCCAGTCCCAAACACTGCTCAGCCGCGAGGGATGGCGGGACTGACTCCCGACCGTACCTGTCTGTGCTAACAAGGGGACTTCCCTGGGCGTAAGGCAGATGCACACTCATTGAGGCTGAGGGGAGGGAAAGGTGGCACCACACACTAAACCGGTGATGGACACATGCTGGAAAGCCCTCAGAAGAAGGGGCTGTGTCCTTTGAAGCAATAACACCCCTACTTGCAGAGCACTGGTGCTTGTGTTGCCTCAGGAATTAGTGCCCAGCATCTCAGGGCTCCGAGAGCCATTGCTCCACTTGCTGTGTTTAACCTCACCTCCCATGGGCTATTTTCAAATGGAAACGGGTTTCACGCCTGCCCTAGAGCACCTGCCAGGCCAGCTATTCCTGCAAGTGGCACTGTAAGGAAAATGTGAACGGTGCACCAGTTCCTCTGCCATTCGACCCTTCCCAGGCCGGAGGGCAGCCCCACCACCTCCCAGCCCCCTTACACTGCTCAGGTCCAGGTGTGACGAGGGAGCTGCAGGGCGATGCTGCGAGCTGCGTGCGGAGTACGGTTCGTTGTACACCGAGGACAAGAGCTCGCCGTTGGGGTTTTCGGGAATGAGGCTGCAAATGGTCCTCTCCGTGTCCTGGCTGGGCAGTTGCTGGCCACAAGGCCCACATTTGCCTTTGGACTTTCGGGTGCTGCCCCCCCTCCGTAGGTCCTGTGCGGGCAGACCCGTGCTTGGCCAGTTGGCTTGTGCCAGGCTCTGAAACAAGAAGACAGACCCCCGGAGCTGGCTCTCCTCCGGCCAGCCCCAGGTACGCAGACCCAGCTGCAGCCAACGCACTCCCCTGCTAGGGTGGCTGCTGCGGGCATCGCACAGCGCCCGGGCATCGGCATCCTGCGGCCCGTGCCCCACGGGTTTCTCCTTGTTGCATGCACCCATCCCTGAACATACGAATGCTGCAGAGGGTCAGAGCAAAGGCCAGCCTAGCCCATCACCTCCACCCACCCGTGGGCTTTTACTTTGGGCTTTCCTGACCTTTGAACAGTCCCATTTACCCTTTTGCAATCTGTACAAACAATCCTTATGTAGAGTGGAGCATTGGGATGGGAGTCTGCAGCAGACTTTTCCTTTATCGGCAATGACAAAGCTGAGGCAGGACAAATACAGGCTCCAGGCGTGGATTTGCCATGCCACAGAGCAAACACTGACCGCCCGAGCTCAGCCCATCCAGGCACCTCAACGGACCGCTCTGCTCAAAGGCAGCGTCTGTCCCCACATGCGTCCCAGGCTTTTCAGGGGTTCACTTACATGGAGAGGCTGAGAATAGCCAGGGGAGAGGGGGTCTTCGAGCACCCTGCCCTCAGGCATCAGCACGAAGGACTGTCCATCAGGGAGAGAGCCGCTGTGCTGGGAGAGGTGTGTTAAGGTGGCCACTCTCCCTCCCGATGCCCAGGAGTTCGTACGGCCATCAGAAGTGAGTGACCCTCTCCCGCTGCCGGCAAACTAGATGGGCGAGAAGAACAGCACATGAGAACAGCCCTCGGCGTGGCTGCAGGGACATCCCTCACCCACCCCACTCCCCCGGCCCAGCCCAGCCCTCCGTGCCCACACGCAGGGACTAGACCTGGGTCTGGGCTGTGCCCACATGGCAAGCAGTTGCCGGAGGCAGCCGTGCCCAGTGTGGCAGGGTGTGATGCCCCCTGAGGCTGAGAGGGTGGCTGAGTTGGGTTTGCAGGGGTGACAGGGATGAATGAGGAGGGCTCGCAGTGGGGAGAAGGGTGCTCAGGCACCCTGACCCCATCCCAGCTGCAGTGCTGGCAGGGTGGGTCTCCCCTTCCTTGCAAGACCCTGTTAATGTCCTTGTGCCAATGCCTCACCGCAAAACACTGTCAGAGTCTATGGCCAGGGGTCTGCTTTTGAAGGAATTTAATATAATATATGCCTATATAATGTAATATAGGGCTTCAAAATAATTTGCAGGGATCAGCAACTTCAGGACAGCCTTCAAGCAGTGGACCTGAAGCAAAGTCTGCTGTGTCACAAGAGTACTCACACGTGGCCAGAGATAGGACAGACATCTACTGATTACCATGCAAACCCACAATATCGGTTACCTGGCTGAGGTGTGGCAGTTTTAATCCCGAGAAACTCTCTGATCCAGAGAGGGAGGAGTCGGCATTTCGAAACTGGGCTGTTTTGAGACAGTAGAGCCACTCCTGGTAATCATCATAGTTGTGGCAGATCACCCGGATCGAATTGATTAGTCGACCTGTAAAAACATCACTCACTGCTGTCACTGGGTTTGATTGACAGTACGTGTTGCTTCTTTCAGAAACCCACGGGAATCCCCTTGCTCCATCCCTCCCCTCCTGTTCTCCCAGGATGTGGAGACCCCAAAACCAGTGCAGGGACAACAGGAATGTTCTACCTTTGGTGCTGACCCTTTGCACCTGGCTAAATGTAGGACAGGGGCAATCGCAGCCCAGATCTAAATAAGGGGGAACCTGTGCCACAGTCGTGCTACGACACGCACACCCCCGGTGCAAGCGCTGCTGCTGGCTCACAGCCTCTCCCTGCCCGCAAAGCCAGGGCACCGATGGTCCAAGATTTCCAAACTTTCCAGTTCACAGAGCTTGGGTGCCGACGTGAGCAAGCACAGCCAAGAAGATGGCCACAGCAGCTTAGCAAAACCAGCCCAACCCCAGAGACCTCCGTGGCTGCTGCCAGCACACCCCTCGGCATGCCGGACACGCACCTTCTATTAAAAAGGAGGTTTTCTCGTTTTCTTCAAAAAGCACTTGGATGGCATTGAGTGGCAGCTCGCCCTGTCGGAGAGAGAAGCAGGCTTAGGAGCGCACAGCTGAGCAGAGCTCACAGTCCGTGCCGTACGGCACGCAGCGGGGAGGACAACGTGGCTTTAGGGCTGGAGTCTCTGCAGGCACCTGGCTGGCAAAACTCTGCTTCCCAGAGGCTTTTGGGAGCCTACTGCAAAGTTTTGCCAGCTTAGCTGGGGGCATGAGGAGGGGAGCCCCCAGCACAGGACCAACGGTGAGGATGGGGCGATGCTGGCAGGAGCCTGGCTGCTCTT